ATGACCTTTTATATACAAATCGGCATTCTAAGCAAGCATTTAATTTTTCAGTGATAATTTTTTTTCTTACAAAGGGATTTTTAAAATGGTATCTGCAGTTTGATTTCTGTTCTGTGTATCTTTAGAATTTTACAACTGTGACAGCCCTGTTTTCTTCTTTGCAATAAATTATGCAACTAGTACTTATTTGAGGACTCTCACAGTTGAATTTTTAAATTGTTGTAATTCTTTATAGTTACTCAAAACACAGAAACTGTTGTTTCTATTAAATAAGATCTGCATAGCAGCTTTGAAATTTTATTTAGTTTTTAAAGGAGGGTGTTACCAGTCTGTTTTGATAGAAATCATACCACAGTGAGGGCATTGCTCAGCATTTCTAGTTCTGAAATCCAGATGGCTTGATTTGCCATGACCTGGGAGAGTGGGTTGAACTAATAGAGTTACCTGCAAGCACCTAGCACTGTGTCTGTACATGCTAGGGACCCTGCAAATGTTCATTTAATTTAGCCTCAGATAACTCCTGAAGCTCCCAGTTATAAAATTCTCATTTTAGAAGTTCAGTAAAAATATCTCATATGTAGCATTTATATATCAATGGAGTGGTGAGTTTAAAATTATGAATACAACCCGGCCGGTGTGGCTCCGTTGTTGTGTCAATCTATGAACCAGGAGGTCACCACTCAATTCCCGGTCAGGACACATGCCTGGATTGCAGGCTCAATCCCCAGGGTTGGCCATGCAGGAGCCAGCCAGCCAATGATGTTTCTGTCTCGTCATTGATGTTTCTATCTCTCCCTCTCCTACTGAGATAGATGAAGCATCCATTTTTTCCTCCTTTTTTATGCACGAAATTTGGGGTAGATGTTATGTGCTTTTTCACTCTGTTCACAGAGATAATACTGGTCCATTTACATTTTGAATTTTTGTAATGGTGGTTATGGGTTTGCACTGAATGATTCACGTGTTCTCTGTCCAGTCCCCTTTACACAGTTTTGAGGTGACTGGTTAAGAGGGCAGTTTGTTTCCAAGTTAAATGATCCAGATGAGTAGTGAAGCTACTAGTATAAGCTTAGCCTATCATGATACTCAGATCAACAAGCAGTTCAATAGAGAACTATGCCATACTCTCATTTCTGCTGAAAATAGGCCTTTTGAGGTAGAAGGTACATGCATGTACCAATAAAAAAAGGAAATTGTATGTGATGATTAAGATAAAGTTGAAGCACGAAATAGTGTACTTTTATAAGTGCTCTAAAAGAAACACTTTATATAATTTTCAGAAGTCTGTGATATATATGTGGAGGATTGAATATTATGTTCTATGAAATTAACTTCAATCATTAGAAAAGTTAATGGCTTTGTTTTACTAATGACTTATTTATTTAGGCTGTATAAATTTAGACTAGATAAACCTGGGGAAAATAATTCTTTGCATATCTAGTTTTCCCTGATATAGTTTCCTATCTCTAGTCTATTTAGTTCACATTGATAGAGAGTGGTTCAAAGTGTGGAATGGTAAAGTTAACCAAATTTGGAATTAAATATGTAATCCCGTGTTAGGTTTTAAGATATATTTAAATTAAGCCATGTTTCAGAATAGGAATATACTAAACTGATAAAGACACTGTTGGATTAATTAAAACTTGAAATACCTTATGTTAAACTCTTTAAGTATATATATCTATAACATTCATGTTTGCTTGCAATATAATGTTGTATTCACTTGTTCTGGTTGTAAGAGAGGCACAAATAACTGGCTACAACTGTTTCTTTGGACAAATCCCAAATGCAGTTTGTGAGATTCTAAGTAAGCAATAGTAGGAAATTCTCTCTTATTGCAGATTGAACATTTCAGATTTGTCAGATGTGTAATCCAGAGAGTAAATTCATTCACTGTATTTTCAGTGATATTTTTAAATTCATTTACAAATAGAATCATTCTGTTCTAGACGAGTATTATATAAAACATTAAGCAAGCAACATAACTTAATTATTTTAGCAGTTGGAATTATAACACTATCTTGGATTTTATGTACTTTTCAGTATCTAGCCCAAATCACTGATGCTTTTTGAAATACCTTTTAAATTCCATCATATGCTGATGAAAATGTGGCATAATCTCATTAGTAGATTTTAGATTTAGTCATTGAACGATGTTTGATGTTAGGCTCCTTGATGGAAACTGAAATGTGAGGACTGTAGTTTCTATTTAAGGAATTTAGTCTAGTAATTTTGTTGTCAGAACCTGACATGTTCTATAAATAAATTTTGTATTTTCATTTTAGAATTAAAATAGAATCATGTTCATTTTCTTTTTTATTGTTTAAAGTATTACATATGTCTCCTTTTCCCCATTGATTCCCCCCCCCTATCCATTCCCACCCCTGAGGGCAATCCCTCACCACCCCATTGTCCGTGTCCATTGGTTATGCTAAGATGCATGCATACAAGTCCTTTGGTTGATCTCTAACACCCCTCCCCCCGCCCCTTGTCTCTGGATAATATTATTCTTTGTTTTACTTACTTACTTACTTATTTATTTATAGAATGGTTTACTGATTCCTAGAGAGAGAGGAAAGGAGAGGGGGAGAGAGAGAGAAAAACACTGATGTGAGAGCACTACATTGATTGGTTGCCTCCTGCATGCCCCCTACCAGGGATCGAGCCCACAACCAGACATGTGCCCTGATCAGGAATTGAACTGGCATCCTCCTGGTGCAGGGATGACACCCAACCAACTGGGCCATACCAGCCAGGCCATTTCTTTTTTTTTAAGTTCTCACCCAAGGACATTTTCATTGTTTTTTTAGAGAGAGGGAAAGCGGGGGAGAGGTATGTACCCTGACTATAGATGGAACCCAAGACCTTTTGGTGGATTTTATGATGCTCCTACTAACTGAGCCACACTGGCCAGGGCGTATATTCATTTTCTAAGTAAACTATTTTAAATGATCTCTTAGCTACTTAACAGCTATTTCTGTGGTCTTATTTTTTTTTAACAGCTTTTTAGTATTAGAGCAAACCAGTTTCCAATTTGTTTAAAACATAGTAAAATAAAAATTATTTGCTTTCTACTGCCTATTTTACTTCTGTCCAAGACTTTTATTTTTCAAATTGCTTTTCTGCGTATATGTCACATTGTGGGAAGTTTTGTTGTTGTTGGTTCTTTTTTCATTTTCAGCTAGCAAATTTAATTTTGTTTAATGTGAGTGTATTTTTGTGTGGGTTTTTTTGCAGTCCAGCTTAATATTTTTTCTACACTGATTAAAGTTATCCTGTGACTGAAGTTAACTATCCACTAGGACAGAAATGTGCATATAGACAAATGCATCACTGTGCATTTTTAGTGAATGTCGGTAGTTTGCCAGCTTTATTTTCAAGTTCCTCCCCCCTTCAGACCTGTGATGTACTTATAAGGCAACAACAGTATGTTTAGTTAATTTACAAAATGAGAATAGTTTTTCTGATTTTTCCATTTTGCATGTTTTGAGTTAGGATTAACTGGATGTTTATTATCCTGTATAATGAAAGCCTAATATGCTAAGTGTCCAGTCAGCTGTTCAACCAATCAAAGCATAATATGCTAATGATATGCTCAACCTCTTGCTATGATATGCACTGACCACCAGGAGGCAGACACTTTGACCGGTAGGTTAGCTTGCTGCTGGGGTCCGGCCAATTGAGACTGAGCGAGATGAGCTGGACATGCCCTGGAGCTCTCCCACAGTCCCTCCCAGGCTGGCCAACCTCCTGCATCCCTCCCCAGCCCTGATCGTGCACCGGTGAGGTCCCTCAGCTGGGCCTGCACCTTCTCACAATCCAGGACCTTTCGGGGGATGTCGGAGAGCTAGTTTCAGCCCGATCCCGCAGGCCAGGCCGAGGGACCCCACTGGTGCATGAATTCATGCACCAGGACACTAGTTCTCAATAGGCATACAGTAAAACAGTTCACTTAACTGTGATGCTTTCTGTTGGAGTATTGGCTGACTTTTAGTGAACCTGTGTAATTCCATGAATGCTACTGAGTCATGGATAACATTCTTTACACTATCTAAAGGTAAATGTGAATGTAATAGAAGCTGGAAACAAAACAAGTTTGCTGATTTCTTTACACTAGGAAATGTAGTTTCTGTTCCAAGTAATATGTTCTTGTTAGGTTCATTTTCAGTGGCTATAACTGCTTAAACATTGTTTTCCTGTTTAAAGTAATTTATGTTCCATTGTGGTAAATTTTGAAAAGAACATAAATGAAAGAAGTAATTGAAAATCACCTATAAACCTATCACCTAGAGATAATTACTACTAACATTTTAATAGTAACATTTTAATACATTTAGTACATTTTTCTAGTTTTTTCTTGCATGTACATATTTTTTTTCTTAAAAATTGGAATTAATGCTTTTATATAGGCTGTTTTGCTCCTACTTTTTTCTCTGAATAGAATATTGCTGTTCAACCTAGTGTGGGATTTTTAGGTCAATTCTTTATAGTATTTCTATCTATCTATCTATCTATCTATCTATCTATCTATCTATCTATCTAAAAGCCTAAGTGACCGTTTGACCCTCCAACCAATAGATATGATGCGCACTAACCACCAAGGGCAGACTCTCAACACAGGAGCTGCCAAGCGACAGCAACTTTGCAGAGTGCCCTCTTGCACTCTGGGGTCCCTTGGGGGATGTCAGATTGCCAGTTTTGGCCTAGTCCCCGCAGGCCAGGCCAAGGTATCCCACCGCTCACTCCACAGATGCCCTTCGAGCCCCAGTGTCTCCCTAGGTGCAGCTGGCTGGGGAGGGACCATGGGAGGTTGGCTCCAGGGTATGTCCCGCCTGTCTCACCCCACTGGCCACCTTCTAATTAATTTCCTTTGAGTGTGCACGAATCCGTGCACCGGATCTCTAATTTTAAATAATACTGGGGCAGACATTTTTGTACATTTGTCTTTGATTGCACCTTTGTGTTTTTCTTTCTTTCTTTAGGATAGATTCTCAGAAGTGGGATAACTGGATCAGAGGGTGGTTACCCTGTGTATAAGAGTTTGTCTCACTGCACCTTCAATGGCATTGAGTAGATCAGTTTTTATAATCTTTGCCAATTTGATAGATATCTTTTACAATTCTTGGGTGGGAACCACAAAATCCTCAGATTATGAATAATCTGTAAAACCATCATAGTGTATGATTGGTAATTTGTAGTCATCTTTGAAAAAGTTGGTTGGAATGAATTTCTTTGAAAATATTTTAGGTAAAAATTCTATATAATAAAAGCCTAATATGCTAAGTGTTCGGTTGTCCATTCAACCAATCAAAGTGTAATATGCTAATGAATGCTAAGGCCGCTCAACCACTCGCTATGACCTGCACTCACCACCAGGGGGCAGATAGTCAACTGGTTGACCAGTCGCTATGATGTACATTAACCACCAGGGGGCAGATGCTCCAACCAGTAGGTTAGCTTGCTGCTGGGGTCCGGCCAATTAGGACTGAGCGAGACAGGCTGGACATGCTCTGGAGCCCTCCCACGGTCCCTCTGCAGTTGGCCAACCTCCCACGTCCCTCCCTGGCCCCGATTATACAACAGTGGGGTCCCTTGGCCTGGCCTGCACCCTCTCGCAATCTGGGACCTCTCAGGGAATGTCAGAGAGCTGGTTTCGGCCCAATCCCGCAGGCCAGGCTGAGGGACCCCACTGGTGCACAAATTCGTGCACCAGGCCTCTAGTGTTCCATAAAAAGATACTCCTTGAGGTTACAATTTGAGCATTGTTTTTTATTGGGAAAAAATGGCATTTTAAAGTTCTCCCTTTACTAAAATGACAAACCTGAGAAAGCTTATAGCATGTAGTAAAACTTATGTAAAAAAATTATTTCACCTATATGGATGGGTTAGTCACATGGTTCAGAACTTAGTGTTTAGAGCAGTGGCTCTGGAGTTAGGCAACCTAGGTTCAAATCCTTGCTTTGCCACTTACTAAGTCCATGATTTGAGGCAACTTACTGTGTATGTAACTTAAGGTAACTTGCTAAATATATATGATTTGATATTTATGAAATTTGGCTTTCTCATCTTTAAAAGGGGAATAATAATTACTTCATAGGATTGTTGAGAGGATTAGAAATATTGTGTAAGACTGCTTGGCATGTAGTCGACATTTAATAAAAACTAGCTATTGTTAAATTTATTTTTTGTGTTTTGTTTTGCCAGTTTTGGTGGGTGGGGCAAGAGATGTCATTTGTGTGGCCTTGCCTACATGACAGTGCAAAATGGCCTTGAGAGATGCAAAATGGCCTTGAGCAATGGCAGCTGGAAGGGAGTGGTAGTAGATATTCTTTTTATTTGTATTTTTTATCGATTTATTTTTATTTATTTTTTTGAGGGAGAGAGAGAAACGTCGATTTGTTGTTCCACTCATTTATGCATTTATTGCTTGATTCTTGTATGTGACCTAATGGGATGCAACCCACAACCTTGACACACTGGGACAATGTGCTGACCAACTGAGCTACCCAGCCAGGGTGGTAGTAGACATGCTTTCTGGTAGGAATGGCATGAGCCAGGATAGAAAGTTCAGGACAAGTTGGAGAACAGGAGATTGATTTGACAGAAGCCTAAGCCTATATAATTAGTAAATGTGGCATTAAGTCCATAAAGATTGATTAGGGCTAGCTAGGCTTAAGAACTCATTGAATGCTAGATTGAGAAGTATAGACTTTATTCAGGAGTGCAAGAAGTTTTGATAGGGGGAAAATGACATCTTTTGGAAGATGAATCTAGCTACAGAGTTCAGAATTAATTGAGGAAGAAACAGACTGGAAACAAGGAGGCTGGTAATAATACAGGTAAGGCAGGATCTGAGAGTTTAAAGGAAACTAAAGAAGGTTTTGAGGGGAGTTGCTGGGAGTCACTGTTGTGAAAATCTGGCTCTTTAAGTGTACCCAGTTTGTCAAAAGAGAATTTGAGTCTAAAATACAGGCTCCATTGAGGTAGACAATGTCTGAGAGAAGATAGGACTCAATACACTTTGTTTGTTGCTACCTATTTTTAAAAATTGAAAGGTAAAAATTCCTGTTATTTCATTAATGAAAAGCATGCTTGTGCTATTCCTTTGACAAATTTGTAACTTTAGAAATTTTACTTATTTAGCATTTTGAGTTCTTAGTTAACAGGGAACCTTCACATTTAGACATTGGTACTTCTGGAGCTATCTTAAAATATGTCAGTGTACAGTGCAGTTCTTCAGTGTGTGGTCGTTCCAGCATTGGTGAATGTGACTAGACTTTAGAAGCATCAGTTGTGTGAGCAGAAGTGAAAAGTAAAGTACAGACTTCTAGTTTGGTAAGCAACTTAGAATGGAGAAGTTCTCTCCTTTCCCCTTAATTTATTAATTACAAACAAATTAGTTTGCTCATGCCATTCTTAGTCATTCTGGTACCTGGCTCTAGCTCTATGTTAATTGTACTTCCCACTTGGCTGAATAATACGTAAGCAAATTAGCTTAAAGATTGATATTAATATTTCTTTTTGACTCATAAGTAAACTCTCTGCAGCTGTGAATTATCTGCTCACTGTCTTTAATATTGCAAGTTGAGAAAAGAAGCAACCCCCATTGGTTTGTGATACTTTCAAGACGTTTGCATATTTTAAAGCATTGATTTGTTATACCTTTCTAAATGTTTCTTTTAGTTTTCAAATATTTTCTAAACTCAGAAATAAAGTCCTGTTAATTTTTATTCAAATCTCTTTCCTTTAAAAGTGTATTTGAAAATATTTTTAAATTATGGTCATGCACCATTTCTGTAGAGATGGACCACCAATGATGGTGCCATCAAATTGTAATGGAACTGAAAAATTCCTCCGCCTAGTGACAGCCATATCTCAATGCATTCATTACTCACCTGTTTGTGGTGATGCTGGTGTGAACAAGCCTGCTGCACATACAGTTATGTACAGTACAGAATACTTGATCATGATGAACGGTTGCTGGTTTATGTATTTACTATACTGTTAATTGTTTTTTTAGAGTGTACTCTCTCTACTTATAAAAAAGTTTGCTGTAAAACAGCATGCCAGGTTATGCTGGCAGCAGCCTCTCATTTCACGTGTTCACTTCGTTTCTTGATTGCATCAATCTGCCTTGCATTTGATTTAATCTCGTGTAATTTTAAAATTTTGTGTAGCAAACATGCACTTAATTTAAAAAAAAAAAGTCTATAGTTACGTGCAGTAATGTCCTCGGCCTTCACAGTCACTCACCACTCACTGACTGACTCACCCAGAGCAACTTCGAGTCCTGCAAGTTCCATTCATGATAAGTGCCCAATATAAGTGCACCATTTTCCATCTTTTATATCGTATTTGTACTCTATCCTTTCTGTGTTTCGCTATACGAATATTTACCATTGTGTTACAGTTACCTACTGGACAGGTGTGTAGTCTTAGAGCCTATGTGGGTCGGAGGCTATGCCATCTCGGTGTTATAAGTGCACCCTGTGTGCACTCTATGATGCTTGCACAATGACAAAATCTCCTAATGACCCATTGCTCAGCACCTATCCCCATCATAAAGCAGCACTTGACTGTAATAAGCAAATATAGCACACTAGAGGCCCGATGCACAAAATTTGTGCAAAAGTAGGCCTTCCTTCACCCCGGCTGCCGGCACTGGCTTCCCTCTGGCTCCTGGGATCTGGGCTTCCCTCGCAGCCCCAGCTTCATCAAGAAGGTTGTCCAGAAGGACATCCGGTCTAATTAGCATATTATGCTTTTATTATTATAGATAATATTGGGGATAGCGTGTGTTACTTTTTATAAATACTGTGTTTTTCTAATGAAACTTCAAAAGCCCAGATTTGGTCAACTGAGTGATACTTCATTTACTAAAGGGACTCCAGAGAGTCAAAAGAGTGTTTTAATGTCTCAAACTATAACATCTTAGTTGAGTCTATTTCGAATTGGTTCGAAGATATTTCTGTTTGTCAACAGAAATCAGAACTACAGCCACTCCCCTAAGGCTGATTACTCTTACCCTTCCCTCCTCCTCCCCAACCATAGCTGAGTGTAGGAGCTTCCCTGGTCTGGGCCATTTTGGCACTGTCACTATGCTGGCATTTGTGGCCTTCCCAATATGTATGTCTTACATTCTTAGAAGTCTGCTTGCATTTTGGCAGGAAAAATAAGTTATGAATAAGATTGAGTGGCTCATGATACACTGTTATAAGAAAATTCACAATTTTATATGTTAATTATACCTCAAAGCAGAAATTTAAAAAAAATTTATTTTTTACGTGAGTTGACATATGAAGTGTGTGAAACATGAATAGACTTTCTATTCTAGTCTCAAAAAGTTGAAATAAAAGAGCATAGGGCCTTTTCTTGAAGGTAAAGCCCTTACATCTCATTTAATCTGCACAGCAAATCTTTTAAATAGATATTGTCCATTTTTTACAGATGATGAAACTCAAAGTAATTATATAATCTATGAAAATTAACAAAATAAAAAAAAAGAAAAGAAAAATAAACTAAAATTTCTATAGGGAATAATGCTGACAGTAAACTACCAGAAGCAGGGACTGCCATAGAAAAGCATAAAATAGATGATCAATAAATATTTGTATTTTGCCTGCATTACAAGTATGAATGAATGAATATGAATTAATGTTCATTACAAATATGAATGAATGAATATGAATTTTAGTGAATGAATGGATCAGTAGGTGAATGATAGAAGACAGCCTTTAACTCAATAATTTTTTCTTCAGTGCAGAACAACATTTTTCTTTCAGATGAGTCTAGAACATTTTTCACAAACAATTGAATTCACCTTTCTTTTTCTCTGTACAAAAGTCCCTCTTCTCTCATGTGGTTTAAGTTACTTAAAATAAATCACACAGTAAAAATCCTGAAGAGGGAAATAAAGACCAGAGACATGGAAAGCATCACTTTCACTTAGATTTTAACTAAGTCGTATGTAATGTTATCAGTCTGTAATGTTATATCTGCGTTAGACCCTTCTTTTCACATTCAGGATGTCATCTTTTGGTTCTGTTTGTATCTCTTAATTTTTTAAAATTTACT